ACTTCATCCGCAATGGAAAGCACATATCCCAGCCGCTTGATGTCAAAACAGGTTTCAGATAAGGTGGGCCCCTTATGCGGTTTCTTCAACGTAATATTGGAGAAGTCTCCAAGATCTTCAGAACTGGACAGTTCTTTCTCAGCAACAAGAGCATGCATACAATAATTATCGTGTTCCAATGATATTGATCAATTCCGGTATCTTATGAATGTCATTCGCACGTATCTAATCCGATTCGTTGTGTCATAACAATCGAGTGCGAAGGCTGGTGGTACCTAATAGAAATGGGCTTAGCTTCACTTGATGTTTTTGATTGGCGTGAGTTGGCACAGAAACGAAAAGCTTGGTGTGCTTTCTAAAAAAACGCAAAGTGCTTATGGCGCAGAGGCAGTCTTCTGCAGTATTCGGGAGAAAGACTCTGCATAATACTTATAGGCTTTTGCGCTGTAGTGTTGGCGAATTCCGGAGACAATGAAACAATGCGCCCGTCTGGCTGGTTGTGGTACAAAAAGAGGAAGACCTTCTCTGCTTTAGAAATTCCAGGTACAAATGAGCTTCGCTCGATTAGCAAGAATAAGAAAAAATGGCATGCTAAGACAAAGAAAGATATTGGCAACATACATGGTATATGGCCTGCGGGATCCAAACTATGGTACGCCTGATGGTGACCGATATGTCACGCAGCACTCCGGTAACTATGGAATATCTGCTAATGCTCTCAGGTAGGGACACATAACAGAATGCTAACCGGCGAGATAGAGTTTTGTTGACTGGGCATTTGACAGCATACTTTTTCATTTGTAAAATGTCGCCAAAAAAAAAACGATGTTTCGCGTGCTTTTCCAGTACGTGAAGACGGCCGGTAGAACGAGCACTCACACAGGAACTTATTGAAGGCAGAATCTCCTCCTGAGCAGATATGAAAGCATCTTTTTCACCTGGAGGGCGAGATCCTAGACTAAAAACAAGAACCACTGGACTGGACTTTGTACAGGCAAGCACTATACCACATCCACTGGGTGCGTATCGCTACCTTCACAAACTTTTGCCAAATGAATGCCATCTTCGAAATTCCACCACAGCCCATAACAGAGGAAGAACTTTATCTGCCTCAAGAGACCCGCGATAAAACGACTTGTTTTTTTTTTGCGCTTACACTTTTGCTAATTGTTTGGCCGAGCTTTACCTTCAAGTTGAGGTATTACGTCTTGATTATGTTACACAAATTGAGAGGCTTATAGCTTTGCGCCGTCTCCGTGTTGCAAATATATTTTAAGAGAAGCTTTTTCGGGCCAGAAATGCAGTGACGTGGATGCCAAGGTGCGAATGCGCTGATTGTTTGTTTGATGACAGGAGATACTTCGTCTGGTCGTAGACCGCCAGACCCACTCGCTTTGTTTCCTTATCCAACTAGGATTTCATCGGCGTACGCCAGCAATTGCTCGCTCTTGTAAAAAATTTTACATGAGCGATTCATTACTGCAGCTCTTATCTTCTCCAACGTCAGATTAAAGAAATCGCATGAAAGGGAGTCGCACTGGACGTTTTTCCTGTCGGCCAGCATTTAAAGCTCTTCGCACTAACGTATTTCGGCCTCTCTCTTCTTATTACGGCAAATACGTCTCGCTTCCCTCTTCAGCTCCCTATAACGGTCCCACATGGCCCGATCGCAGCGTGGCCCTATAGGCGGCATCTTTTTTCTCTTCAGATTCTTGACACTCCTCATCATACCAGTTGTTATTTCGGGCTAGCTGAAATTCGACTACTACTTCGGCGGTGGTGCTTAATGAATGGGAAATATGGTTCCACGGTTCGCATATGTCGGTTTGTTGAAGAGTGCTCTCTGAAAGCAGGTGTGGGAGTCGAGTAACATACATTGGCCGTTTGTTGTGATTGTAGCTTTTCGACGTTAAGCTTCCCTTGCATTTTTGAGCGCACATTTTTTGTTGCACAGAAGCGGGTACGTATGTTAGCTGCAACAAGGTAGTGGTCCAAGTCGATTTTTGTGCCTCGTAGTGTATGTACGTACGTCCAAAAGACTGGAAGCGTGCTTTCGTGTGTTTTTCGATGTGGAGACAACCACGTAGCTTGATGGATCTTTTTATGCTTGAACCTAGTACTGCATACTACCATGTTTCGGGCCCCGGCGAAGTCTATCAGCTTCAGTCCGTTTCGTCGTGAACGCTGAATTTTCCGACGGTGGTTCCAAAGATCCCTTCCTCGCCCACCCTGGCATTGAAGTCGCCAAGCACGATTTTGATGTCATGGCGGGGGCAGCGCTCATATGTGCGCTCCAAGCGCTCATAGAAAAGATCCATGGACGCTTCCTACTTCTCTTCCGTCGGGACATGGGCATAGATGAGCGAGATGTTGAAGAATTTCTCTCCCACCACAAATCCAACACCGAATATGCGTTACTTTACATGGCAGCTGTAGTAGACGTCGCAAGGTCCCATACATTTTTTGTCTGCCCCGTCCAATGCATTTTTTGAATGGCGGTGATGTCAGCATTTGTCCTTACGAGGACATCAACGCGCCGGGCAGAGGCTCCTTCCCCATTAAGGGTCCGCACATTCCAGGTGCATGTCCTCAAATAGTAGTCCTTTAAACGTTTGCCGTGGTCATCATCAAAATGGGGAATCTCATCCGAGGATTTGTGTCTCTTTTTCATTGGAGGCTGTTTTTGCGTGGCGGGTCCCAAATCTAGCTCACAACCCATTGCTGGGGCGGGGGTGGTTTCGCAACCGGGCAAGCCGCTTGCTCCAAGACGGAAACCCGCTTGCAGACTTCAGTGAGCCCTTAAACCGAATAAGTTGGAGTGGCCCACCGAAGCTCCCTCTCTTTCTGCCGTGACCCAGAGTGCGCAAACGAGGACGCAAGAATCGGGATTGAGTATAGCCGTGCAACTGTAACTGAGGTGCGTTCAAAAATGCATCAAGCCCAAGCATCAGAGTCTTTTATATCTAAACTATAATTGATGGAAATGTCTTATTTGCGCAACTAAGTTCCAATTCGTCTTTTAACTGTATATATAAGTAATTATAGTTTAAAAATAAAAGAGACTGATGTTTTGGATTGATGCATTTCGAAACGCGCCCTGCATTCCGGCACAACAATTTAGGGCTGGTTGTTCAATGTCTGGTTATCACCAGTACATCATTATCGGCGATTATGTTATGGGCCTAAAAGACGTTACCGTTACCCTTAGGCTAACTTCAACATCTTTATCGACGTTATCGAATCCCTGTTATATGTTATGCAGAGTGCAATAGGGTATATTTAGGGCCGGTTGTTCAATGCCTGATTAACACAAATCGGAGGTAGATGCTTCGGTTAAATACAACGACTGCTTTATCGATCACATGTTATGGGCATGATATCGAAAACGCCGATAACGATGTTTAACTCGGAGGTGGTGATAACCAGGCATTGAACAACCGGCTCTTAGGGTCTTTCCATATTAAGATAACGATAAATAAAACAGAGGCAGCTAACTTTTCTGACGGTCAGTTGCAGTGCCCCATTTGATTTGTTACCATGTTAACAGTTATTTTTACTCATCTGTTAAACGCGCGACCAATTGCGATTCTGCTATTAATATCTAATATGTGACCACTAAAATACATTCTTATTTTATAGAAGTTATAATTTCTTTTTTTAAGCATTTAATTCTATTGTATTTTATTTATTTTATATTTTTTAATTTTTTTATTTTTGAAACTGATAATTTTATTTATTTGTTAATAGAGTTGAAACACTCATTTGACGGCCTCAAAGCGCAGTCCAGTGATCGGACATTGTGTAGAACTGCACTTTTTTGAACACAAGTAGCCCGTTCCCGTGCTTCACGATTTGAAAGATTTGCAGATTTTACAGGAACAGCTGTTTTCATCTAGCACCCATTCGCGTTTTTGAGTAGTTTTATTTTTGCTCGACATAATTTTCTTAATTTTAAGAGCAAAAATTATCCAACACTAAACACCAAAAACTTAGCCGAATAGGAGTATAAAATAAACTTTTTTTCGTTTTTGTCGATGTTATTGTGGCTTGTTAACATTTTATTTTTAATATTTTTATTGAGCTTTGTACCACGATTGTTTATTAGGAAAAATTGAAAAAGCAACAAAGTCTAAGCAGTAGAAGTTATAGCACTATTTCGGAGATCACCACATCTCCTCATCAGACTTCTTTTTTCTAGACTTCAGCAGGGATCAAACTTTTATTCTCAATAATCAATTTTTCGATGGAAAACGTGGTTTTATTGCAAAATATCTGATCTATAAAAAGAATTAATAGCGAAAATGTTAAAAACGGCGATTTTTTTGGAAAGTGTTAGCAAATTTCAGTGCATCTTAAGTGTATAAGGCGTTGTTTACTTTTACTTGAGAATTGTTAAAATCGGCAAATCCCAAGTAGTGGTTTCTGGAACATGCCACATTTATTCGCTACCTCGTGAAGTGATAAAAAGAAAAGCTGGCAGCACTTCACAATGTTGTAGAAATCTCTCAAAATATGTTCGAAAAATATCTTGTATGAAAGGAACTGCTTTACACTGTCAAGGAAAAAAGTTCCCAAATTTCAACGCAACTTTTAGGAACTTCAATCTTGCAATTTATTATACTAAAATTAAATTTTTCTTTTAGATTCTACTTAAAGGCTGCGTTTTTTTATACATTCCGGATAATCCCATTTCATAGCCGGAATAAACAGAATGCGTTTGAAATATACGTTAACATATCATCAGGAACGTTCTAAAGAATAAGTAAACAAAAAAGTTTATTCCAAACGTTCAGAATGAATAAAGAAATGCAGCCAAAGTGTTTGCAATTTGGGTGAAACCAATTTTTTTGGAATCTATCACATTTTTTGAAATGTACTAAATTTTTTTTCCTGATTCTACACACAATTTGTGGTTCCCGATCACTGCCGCTGTCAAAGTAAAATTTCCCCGTGCAATCGCAGCCAATGCCACAAAGTGAAAATCTGTGTAGCTGAAAATTGCGTGAAAATTGTGCAGCTCTACTAATGAGAATAAAAAATGCAGTAAAAAGTGTAAATTAATTGTGGAAAATATATACAAATGGCAATCCAAAAGCCCGGCGAGTGGGCGAACTCGCTTTTGGCCCGTTTCGAGGACCAGGTGAGCGGAAAACATGGATTTTCACTGGGTCTCGCCCTGGGGCTGCTGCAGCGCAATGCAAAAAAGCTGTCAGAAAATTTCCTTATCGATTAAAAAATGTCCCATTGAGCGAGCGTGATAGCGCTAGTGTGCAAGTGCGATGGCAAACGTTTGTTATTGTTTTGGGATATTCATTTGTTTACGTTTTGTTTACACCGGCTTGCGTAGTAGTTGGGTGGAATTATGAATGAAATCCGATCGCCCGAATGAATTTATGAATGGCTCGCGATTGTGGCTGCGAGAATGAAAAGTGAAAGTTGGGAAATTTTAACGTACAGCCACAAGTTGCGGGGCTCACATGAATGAATGTATGAATGGGAGAATGGCTGCCGTTTTGTTGAATGCGAGCGTATTTTGGGGAAATTTTTCAAGTGCATCGAAATGTTTATTGTTTTTATTTCGGTATGTTGTTCTGGTCTACTGGGCACTTGTTGTATTGAATTTCGATTTCAATTATACATATGTGTTGCAGATAAAGGAACGAACTTATTGAAATAGAACTATAGAATGCCTGGAATGGATTAGGAAAGCGTATAAATGGGAAACATCTAGATTAAAAAATCAGTAAAATGGAGATGGCGTTTTAAGTTTTTTGCTGGCCAATTAATTTTATGAAGAATTAGGAAGTAACTTTAAATTACAAAAAAAATAATAAAATTTAAGCAAAATACAATTTGAAAAATTATGTACAAGGCAAATAGCTGAATTTAGTTAAAAAAATAAACAATTGTTGATGTTATAGAGTTTGCAATAATATACTCCCAGGAGATGCTGCACGTTCTACTGAATTACACGAAAAACGAATACATACATACATATGTTCTCGATTTCGGGTAGTATAGTAGTACATAATCCATTCTACATATAGAGACATATTTACTTACTACATACAAATTGCATATGTACTTTGCCCCATATATTAAATTACATATTTTATTTTTTTAGTAAAATTTATTAATTTATTTATTATTCTTCCAATTTCAGCTCCCCAACAAAATTGGACCACATAGCACACAAGCGCGTATCAGTCAAGATCAGCTGAGCGCATGTCTCATACATATTTCCCGCTATCGTTTCTCACTGGTAATATCCGGACTCACTAAAATACTGCAACGCGTTAATGAGGCGGTACGATATTTTTATATTTTCCTTAGAAATATACATATGTACTTATCATACTACATACATATATCTTTTTTCTAATTCCCTGCAGTCTTTCCAAAATCGTCATGACGCGGAGCGTTGTTATTTCGAATCACTAGTCATCATACTTACTACACTCGAACGTTGTTTGGCCAACCAGACCAAGGATACTGCGCGTTTCGAAGAGGCAATGAATGTTAAGCTATTGCTACGTGAAATTTCACAATTTATCGATGTACAGAGTGACAGTAATCCCAATGCAGCACAGTTGAAGGCCATTGCTTCAAAAGTGCTTTTTGCACTCTCACAAAATCACTTTTCAGCGGTCTTCAATCGCATTTCAGCGCGTATACAAGAGTTGACCACATGCTCCGATGAGAATCCCGACTACTGCGACATTGAATTGATACAACACATTGATATGGATATAAATAAATTGACGAAATTGTTACAAGGTAATAATTGATTGCATGTAAATTGTACGAGACAATGTTAAATCTACGAATTATAATATGTAGAATTTCTTTTTCATGAAACAGTGTCCAAGTCAAGATCGAAGCGGGCGCCACCACTCCTATTGTTGCACTCGTTGGAAAAGGCTATTTGGAATTGGATCGAATATCATCCACATGAGTTTCAGGATTTGCAACGCGGCATTACAACTAAGGAAATATCTGGGTAAGTGCACTGTAAATGTAAATTTGCTTATCATGTACCCAATTTTCGGTACAATTTTTCGTTTATAGTTGTTGGGAAGCTTTGCTGGAATTCGTTGAAGCGTACAAATTAGAGAATAAGAAGAATAAAACTACTGTATGGCCGCTGCAGATGCTGCTGCTTATACTTAATCCTGTATGTCAACAATATTTTTGCTGTCAATTGTATGCACTAAATGAGTTTTGTACTTTTAGAGTTGCTTGGAAGCCACGGTCAATGAATTACAACAATCTGAGAAGGAGAAAGACAAAGAAAAATATAAAGATAAAGATAAATCATCATCCGCACAACCTTCCGCACAGACGACACGTGACAAAGAGCAATCGGCTAAACAGTTTATTGAGGGTGTTAAACGCGGACTGGGGCCACACTCACCCTCCAAACAAGTCACCGAGTATGCTGCCATCGCATGCGTGAAACTTTGCAAGGCCTCAACCTATGTGAATATCAACGATTCGAATAATGTTATCTTCAAGCTGGTACAGTATGTCATTAATGATTTGAAGGCGTTGCTCTTCAATCCGGTAAAGCCATTTTCGCGTGGACAAGCGTACAATTATGCCGATATTGAGCTAATGATCGATTGCTGGGTCTCGCTCTTCCGCATTAACCCTCACAATATTGACACTTTGAAGGTGTGCTTAAATCTGTCGTCACCGCAGGCGTATCATTTCGTGATTGTATGCTCGTTATTGAGGTAAAGTGTTAATATGAAGGATTTATAAAGGGGAACTTTTTTTAACTATCCACTCATGCAGATTAACGCACATTCATGTTGACTTTCGACTGCAAAATAAAAATCCGTTTCGGACCATTAATCAGCCCTCGCTGCCTTGGTGGCCCGAAACGAATGTCGTACATTACCGTTCAGCAGAGCTGCGTGCACTCTTCACTGACACATTAAATAAAGCTACACAGGGTTATATCGCACATACGCCTTTGCGTATGATCACATCTTTGACGCTTAAATCGAAAGATACCCAAAAAGGTTTAGCGCGCTCTGAAGAAGGACCTGCGCACAAAATGCTGCTGCTGCTCATGGTTCGACTTATACATGCCGATCCCACCTTATTGTTGAATGTAAGTGTATTAGCATTGCTATTTGATTGTACTACATTACACATTTCCTTCAACCTTACAATTACAGACCCAAGGCAAAGTGGCACATGAAATGCAAAGCTCCTCGCTCGAACTCATTAATGGTCTAGTGAGTTTAGTACACCAACCCACCATGCCGGATGTAGCTCAGGAAGCTATGGAGGCACTCCTCGCTCTGCACTCGTTCGACAAAATTGAATTATGGAATCCGCAGGCGCCAATGAATTGCTTCTGGGATGTCAGCTCGCAGGTGCTTTTCTCGATTTCACAGAAGCTTATACAACATCAGATCGCCAATTATACAGATGTGTTGAAGTGGATGCGTGAGATATTGATTTGTCGCAACGCTTATCTGCAGCGGCACAAAAAATATGCGTTGGTCGGGCATGAGTTGCAGATTTGTCGGCAGGCGCGCATCAAGCTGGAAGTTGTGTTCTTCATGTACCTGTGGTCAGTCGATTTGGATGCAGTACTGACTTCGCTATCCTGCTTTGGCCTGCTGTGCCAAGAGTCTGATATATTGCTGACAGCAGACGATGCGGCGACAGTGTTGCCGGTGGCCAATTATCAAATCTATCAGGATCTAACGCAGTTAGCGAATTGTGAGCGTTGAGGAAATTAATAAACAAAATCTATTTTTATACTTAATTTTTCATTTCCAGCCGCTACTGATACGCGCATCTGCTTCTACGAAACCAATCATGGAAATGCATTTAGTGAGTTCATCACTTTTTTCATAACCCTTTTAATTTGACCCAATACGCGTTTTTTTCGTTTTTGTAGGCCGCCTTACGCTACAACGACGTATGATGAATTTGCTCCGTAAAATCGAGCACTGCGTGGATGGCGTGCAAACTGCTTGGGAGGAGACTTTTAGGTGCCTTTATTTTATTTTATTTTATTTTTTAATTTGTAAACGTTTTAACTTTGTATCGCCATCTCCTTAGAAACTGGGAGCTCACTAGCAAAGTGCTGCAAACATATCCTAAATGCAAGACAGACGATGCTCAAGCTGAGCTCTTTCATCGTGGTGTTGGCAAGCGTCGCGCAAGTCATCAAAGTTCCGAGCACGATCTGGAGGAGCACATAACCGAATGGGCCAACATGACTTGGTTTCTGCTGACGCTTGGCGGTGTTTGTCTGCAAAAGCGTTTGGCTGCGCGTTGGAAGCAAATGCAACAGCAGAATACTGCCGCAAATGTGGGCGCAACTAGCGGTTTGGCTTGTGGTCCGGGTAATCTCTTGCAATCGCACAACAGCTTGGCACATTCGCAGAACACACTAGCTGCATCAGGCAGCATGACTTCTATTTCCTCGATACCAGCTGTATCGCTCTATTCCCTCTACTCATGCTCCACCAGCTCTGGACGCGGTTCACTGCTACATCCAAGCACAATTTCTTTGTCTACTATAGTGCAAGCGCCGCAGCAGGATTTGCAATACTGCCCGGTGACACAGTGAGCTAATAATTTGTCACTAAAATATGCGTTGTCATATTACACAAAACAAAATTTTTTTGTCACTTTTTTCACAGATTCATTGGTCAACTGTTGCGTTT